AAAAAAAAAAAAAAAGGAACTTGGATTATCCAGTGCACTAAGTAGACTTGACTTAGTCTGATGTTCTAGCACGCAGCTACAGCTCTCCCCAGCTAGCATGTTTTGGATCTCAAGGCATAAACCATGAGGTCTTTGGTTTCGGAGGCCGTTTTGAGAATACTGTGCAGTCTCCCTGAGCTAGATACCTGGGCTAGATTTTCCCATCTGGCTGAGGGAAAGCCCATCCTTCCTTAGGCCCAAATGATTCCAGAACCAGATCCTTAATGCCCACTATCTGCTAGATGCTGAGCACTGAGCTGGGTGCTAGAGATACAGCTGTGAGCAAGACCCACGGTCCTGGCCTTCATGGCAGGAACCGTGTCAGGTGCGGAAGGGAATTAAGTTATAGGAAGGTGTGAACAAGTACAGGGTCCTGCAGGAGCATGGAGCATGGATCTGATCCTTGTCCACAGGCCTGGGAAAGGCTCTTGCAGGAAGGGAGTGTGCTGGGCCAAGGGCTCAGAGCCCAGAGGTAAGAGGGAGTTCTGATCACCAGGTGGCCGGGCCAGCCCTGTTGCCTGGCATCTGCCGAAAATACACACGAAGAGTGAAGGAAGCTCCGATTCTGATGACCTTAACTGGGTACACTGTTGTCACCACAGGCCACCAAACTGAAGAAGGAGCAGGAGAATCTGCTGAAGCAGCGGTGGGAGCTGGAGAGGCTGGAGGAAGAGAGGAAGCAGATGGCAGCCTTCCGGCAGAAGGCAGAGCTGGGGTGCGTGTGCCCAGACGGGCAAGCCTCGTGCTTTCTCAGACTTGCATTGCTGTCCCAAACCAGAAAGATCTGTAGTAAGTAGCTATCTGGCCCCCGCTGATCGTTCATAAGACACTGAAGGCAGACCGTATTTTGCTCCTTTCTAGACGTTTTTTGAGACATCAGTATAATGTGCAACTCAATAGGCGTGCACAGCAGATCCAAGAGGAACTGGTAAGTCTGAGTCAGCCTGGCATTTCTTTCACCCTTTTTGGAAGAAAATGCTTTCTATCGCTCAGAATGAGTGCGTTCTCGCAAGAATATCACACTAGGGGAGATTCCCCCTTGATGAGCTCGCGACCCCCACCCCTTCCCAGGGGGGTCTGCTTTGTTGTGTATTCTAGATACATTTACCCAGCACACACAGAGGGCAGTGGTGGGGTTCTTTAAAACCTGAAGTGGCATTCCTCAGCACAGTCACCTAACAGTAAACCTCAAATCCTTGGAATGAGCTTGTTCTTTTTACTGGCTGCTCAGTGTTCCTGTCAGGTATGTCGATGGGCTCTCTAGTGACACGGGGACAGGGATAGTGAATGAGAGAACCCGCCTACCTCTATCCCTGCCCGCTACTGTCAGGGTGGTCCAGGGGTGGCAGCGCCACTGCTGTTCCCGAGTACATTTTTCCGTCCCAGGACCTCCCAAGTCCCTTGTTCTTTACTGCATCTCGCTGTGGACATGTCCACTACAGCCAGTTCCCTACCAATGCGTTTGGGTCATTTTTGTTTTTCCTCTA